AAAACACATCAAATCAGAGCTTGACAGCAGACATGGGTTTTGTATAAGTGAGAGACATCTGAAGAGAGTTTTCAGTGCGCGGGGACTCATTCAGCGCAAGTCCTATTCCGACTTGGCAGTTTTGGTTGAATTCATTAATAACCAGGTGCAGTCCTCTGGACAGCTTCACGGTTACCGATGGATGTACGCTAAATGCAGAGAGCATGGACTTCGTGTGAGAAAAGAAGATGTGCACTTGGTGTTGAAGGAATTGGCTCCCTGAGAAACCAAGTCAGGATCTTGACTTAGTTTCTCGGGATCTTGGGAAAATAAGTTGGGATCTTGAGAAAAAAAAACGGTAGGGATCTGGAGAAAAAAGTCGGGATCTCGAGAAAGTAAGTCTGGATTTCTTTTTTTTTTTTTCCTTTTTTTTCTCCATGTCCCTTTAAGACCATAAATGACCCCGGGACCGCACTTTGGACACCCCTGCCTTATGCGTAGTTGGAAACATTAATAACATTTCTGTTCTGAATGAGAGGAATCATGATGCCGTGTAGCTTCAATATCTTCAAAGCCTCTGACCTTCTCTCAGATTATCTCGCTCCGTCGCTCCTCCATCTTCCTCCCTGCCTTTGTGCCTGAACACCAGCAGGTCCCTTCACCCCTCCTCTTCCTCATCCTCTTCCTCCCTGACAGGACCGCCGTTGTTCACGTTCCAGGTCAGACTCTACCTGAGCTCCGCGTCTCTTTGTGTTCCTGAAACTCGAGAGGCGGCCGGGCAGAAAGGACCCCTTGTAGTCGTCGTACAAACGCGCCCGTTCAGACGGACAGATGTAGGGTTCTCAAGACGCGGCGCTGCTGGGCTCCATGAACGTCAGGTTCTCTGAGCAGGGTCCTTCACTGTCTGGGAAGCACAGGGAAAATGGCTGGAATTTAATTTCAGGATAGAAAAATTAAAAATAAAACAAAAATATCTGTTTCCTGACTGCAATCTTTATCCTGGGTTTGCATTTTACCCTCCTTCACTCCTTCCGCTGTGTTCTTTATTATCTCTTACTTCCTTTCCTTTCTTGTGGGACTTTTTCTTCATTCTTTTCCATCTTTTCATTCTTTTATTTCCTTGTGTCCTGCCTCTCTTCTTTTGTGTCATTCTTTGTACCCCTGCCTGCCTTCCTTTCTTCCTTTGTTTCTTTCTTCCTTCCATCATCCACCCTTTCCTTCCTTCCTTAATTCTTGCTTGTCTGTTTTCATTGGTTCTCGTCCTTACTTCATTTGTTCCATTTTTCTTTTCCTTCCTTCCTTCCTTCCTTCCTTCCTTCCTTCTTTCCTTCCTCTCTTTACAGACAAATCATTCCTTTAAGTCTGTCTTGTGTCCATCCTTTTCCTTTCTTTGTAGTCATCTCTTCTTTCTTCCTTTTTCTGTCTTCCCTTTCGTATTTCCTGTATCCTTAATCTTTTCCTTGTTTCCTTCCCTTCTTTTCTACATCTTCCTTTCCATTCCTTCCCATCTAATCTTTCTTGGGTCTTTTTTCCTTTCTTTCCTTCTTTATTTTCTTTTTCTTCCCTTCTCTTCATTTTTACTGATAACGTGAATGTCTGGAGCAATGCACAAGATTAATAAATGACCAGTTAAACTCTTATTTCATTTCTAGTGTGTTTCAATCAATACCCAATTAAGGAGTAAAATTTTTAGATTATTATTAGTCTGTGGGGTTTTATAAATTGCTGCCTTAAATCTGTAGCAGTCCTGTGTTTCCGATGTGAAGCTTTTAATCCAGAAGCTGCTGAAACCTTGATGATTTTTTTTTCAAACATGTCTGTCGTTTCAGGCTGCGACTCCACTGCAAGAGGAGCGAGTTGGTGCGGGAGCTGGAGGAGACGGTTCGACTGGCCACGTCTCTGCAGACGGAGCTGAGGAGGTTGGTCCTTCTACTCCACCAAAATATTCAGTCTGAGCCCAGGAAGGGAAGCTCAGTTAAAAAAATAAACACACCTGATGCTGGTGCCCGAAGCAGAAACCTCCATGATGATGGAGTCAAAAACATTTTGGGTTTTAACTTGGTCCAAACTTTATTTCTCTTCCTTCCAAGCAATCTGAGGATCTATGAAAGTAGCTTTCCTTTTTTTCCCTTTCATTTTATTATATTTTATTTTATTTATTTATTTTTGCTGAAAAGCAACTTTCAGTCATTAGCTGTATTTCCATCACAAATGTGTGCAAAACATTTTAAAATATTGTGCGAATGTTAAAAAAATTTGCAAACATGGGCATTTATTGCATTGTGTATTATTTATCGTGAAAAATATCTTGTGATAAAAATTTCAGTTAAAAAAACTGCCTAAATGTTATTTTTACTCTTCTCCTGTTTATTTTCAAGAGAACATAAAAAAAGCTTAACTTAATTTTTATTTCAAGATATTATAAGAATAGTTGTAACATGTGAATAAAGTTGTAAAGTCATATTACAATTTCTCATAATTATTCTGAGAAATTTGTTTTTTTACATTTTTAGTTTTTTTTAGGAACTAATACTCTGTCATTAAATAGTATTTGAAAACATTGTGATAAAATTCCGTATTGCCCATTCTTAAATGGAAGTGAACTGAAACATTTCATTACTAATCATCATCTTCAGAAATATTTCATATATTTTTTTGTGTTTTCCCTTCAGCCTGTCGGCCAGCACTCTGTCCTGTTCGTCCGGCAGCAGCCGCGGCTCGCTGGCATCCAGCCGCGGCTCGCTGGCCACAACATCCAGCCTTGGCTCCGCCTCCTCCCTCAGCTTCACCGATCTCTACCTGGAGCAGCCCGAGCTAGCCGACCCGGACCTGTGCAGCAAGCTGGACAGCCTCCTGCAGGACGGCGGCCCGGTCGGCTACCGGCCCTCCAGCTCCATCACCACCATCCACGAGCATGAGGTGGTGACGGGCTGTGGCCAGCGCGGCGCTGAGCGGTCTGATGACGCCGGGCCTGGCGGCGCCGAGTCTTCCCGGGTCCAGGTCCTCAGGCTGTCCGAAACGCCGCGTTCCATGAACTCGTTGTCTCCGCGCTCATCTCTGTCGTCGCTGTCGCCGCCGTGCTCGCCGCTGGTTTCGGACACCACGTTCCTTTCGGGGGAGGCGGGGTCCGGCGGGGTTGGGCTGGACCTGGAGCTGCGCAGCAGGCTGACAGAGCTGGAGCTGGATCCCGAGGAGCAGCGGAGAGAACAGCTGGAGGACAAGCAGAACCTGAACAATGTCCTCGGAGACGAGTGCAAAGGTCAGCCTTTTACCCAGAACTCTGTGCCTCTTCCTAGCATCAATTATGGTTCAACAGAAAGTCGGCCTCTCAACATTAATGCTAATCTTTAAAAATTGTTATGTGTTAATAATACAATAAAACATAGTGCACATTATTACCATTTTTGACCTAAAAGCCTGTCTCCTGCAGAGGGTTACCTAGTTTAGGGGTTCCCAAACTTTTCCATGCCCTGTCCCTTCAGAGCTGGATTACATCTGCAAAATGAAAAGTAAGAAGGAACTGCACAGCTCTGAGACTTCAGGGTCAATCTTTACCTCCTGTGTTACAAAGATATCAAAGAAAATATCTTCACTGGCAAGCAGAATACCAGGAATCCTGAGTCAACTAGTGATAAGAAATCTAAACTGTGAGTGAGATGGACGGGTTCAATTTCATCTGTTTTCTAATAGAGCTACAGACTTTTCCTTGTTGCTTCCTATTGTGGAGAGCTTTCCTTGTTTCATGCTGCACTGCTGGACGTTCCTCAGTTTACCTTCTGCTTCCTCCATTTATGACCGTAAAGCCGGTTTATTAGAAGTTTTATTATTGCAGAAAAATTAGACACTCTCTGTGGGGGACAACAAATTGTAGTTTTATTTTGTTAAATAAATAAAAAAATAGAGTATCACATTTGTTGTTTGATCTGTAAACATCAGAGTGGGTCAGATGGAGCTGGAAGCAGCCTGTGAGAAGCAGAACGTGACTCCTGTCAGAGCCGCAGGTGAAAGGTGGACCTGGTGTCCGGTTTCTGGTTCAGTCTCCATTGCTGCTGCCAGAGCTCAGCTCATTGCTCATTATGTATGCAGGACTTTCTCACTGACCTCCTGTTGTTCAACTTGCACAAATAAAACAAGCCGATGCAACGTTTCGCTTTCAGGGATGCTGCAATTATAGTAATGATAAACACAGTAGAAGTGATAATAATGTTAATAGCAATAATAATATTAATGTAATAGTAGTAGTAAAAATAATGGTAGTAATGGTAATAATATCAATAGCAGTAGTAGCAATAGCAGTAATAGTGATAGTTGTAATATTTATAATAATATAGTAGTAATAGTAATAATTGGAATAGTAATAACTAATTGTCCTATGATAATAGTAGTAGTAATAATAATTGTAATAGTATCAGTAATAGTTGTAATGATGACAATAATAGTTACAATAGCAATAATATAGATGAGTTTATTACTATATTTACATTTAAAACCATTAGTTGGTGTTTTTTCATTTTTAGTCAAAGTATTGGCGGTCCAAAGAGCCGCTAGTGACTCCAGGCTGCAGACCGCTGGTCTCAACAATAAACATTTAACTTCATGTACTTTTTTCTTCATGAAGAGTGCAAATCAAAATTCACAGTAATAAAAATTCTCATATTTAAAACTATTTCTGCTGCTTAAATACAATCTGTGGTTTGGATGCATTTTATGAGCTCTAGCTTTAGAGCTCATAAAATGCATTAACTCACCTGTTGGCAAGTGAGTTAAAAAGCAGCTCAAAACTAATGAAAAATACATTCAGGAAGCCTGGAGATCTGATGCCTGGTTGCATTGTACACTGTTTTATTTTTCTTTGTCATAACTGTTGAATGTAGGTGCTCAGATTCAAGGGGCGGGGCCAAAGAAGATGGGCGTGACCTCAGCTGTATCTGATGAGTCAGTGGCCGGTGATAGTGGAGTTTATGAACCATCAGAACGCAAGTATGTTTCATTTTCATTTCTGCATCGTTTCTTCTTTATTTTTATGCTCATTGAAAGTGCAGTATGTAACTTTTCTTTCAAAAATCTTCTTTACATATTTGTTAAAACTGTCACCAAGTCGTGATCGTTTGTTATGAGACTAATAATCTGTGAAAAGATTGACCTCCTCCAACTCTTCCCTAAGCTACTATTGCCATCTAAAGAAAAATGCAACACTCATGACCAAAAACAGAAATATCATTGGTGGCAATGTTAACTAGCAGTCCCACACAGATGGGTGATTGACAGTGCTAAGACCTAAGGCCCGCCTCTTGGCCCTGATTGGTTGTTTCTAGTAAGCATTGGGAGTAGGCATAGGAGATCTTTTTTTTTTTTTTTTTTTAACAAATATGTAAAAATACATATTTTTAATATGTTACATACTGTAGCTTTAAACCCAGTTTTTTGTAATGAAAAGTGTATACATTTCCCCTCTTGCTGTTTCTTCTCCAGGCCAGGCCTCCCTACAGAACTCCTCCTGAGCTCCTATGAGGACCGGTCTGCGTCTGGCTGCTCCCAGGTCCAGCTCGGCTTCCGCTACGAATCCAGAGACCAACGCTTCATTGTCTATATCATGCAGCTGTCCAACTGCAGTGCCCTCTTTCTGCCGGCTGATCAGAAAATGTATGAACTAATTTCTGCCATCATGAATCCTGTGTTAAATCAAAGAACAAACGGTGACCCAAAATGTTTCCTGCAGGCACGTCCGCATGGCGGTGCTGCCGCCCGTTCAGGCCACCCACTGCCTCTTCCGAACACGAGGCCTGCTCCCTCAGGACGTGGTGGCCATCAACGAGGTGTTCGGCATGCAGACGTCACACAACGGATTGCGGCAGAAGACCCTCAGGGTTGACATCTGTAACACCAGCAAGTCAGGCCATGAGGAGTGTCTGGTGGGTCCCTGTTCAGCTCTTATTTATGGGATTTTTAAAGATTTAAATACGTTTCTCAGCATGACGGCTGAAGGATATCAGCAGGAAGTCTTCTGATTATTTTTCCTCTCCTTCAGGCTGGAGCCCAGATCAGCCTGGCTGATGTCAGCTGTTCACAGGAGCGACACACCAAGTGGTACAACCTGCTGAGTTGCCTCCACATGTCTGAGATTAACAACAAGGACAAGGAAACAAGAGCACAGGGCAGCTCTGGCAGGGTAACTACAGAGGAACTGACACCTAGTGCAGATTCTTAGAATTAACAGCTTGTCCAACCAGATTTATCAGCAGTAACTCACTATAACCCACTTTATTGGTGTTTTTGAGCCAATAATTATTTGAGATTTTTTTATTTCAGGCACACGAAGGAGTCCAGCCTCCTGAGACTGAGTGGTACGTTTTCCAACTTTTCCTTACATGTGTCTTGCTCTGCTGTTTGTGTTGAATCACACAGAATGATGTAATAGAAACCCAAAGTGTGGCAAAATTATAGGTAACCTACGGTCCAAAACGGTTTTCTGTTGCTTGATTCATTGTGTATTTCTGTTGCTGTATTAACAGACCACAGAGCTACCCAATGGTGACAAACCATAAATCAGCATTATTTCTTTAATTGAGACTCCTTTAATAATTGAACCTATGAAATGGTTAGACTTTAAAAGTGAAAAGTCTTCATTTGTGTTCTTTATTTGAAAAAGACAAACATAAGCTCCTTTCCTCACTGGTTTGGTTTTACTTGTTTTATAGAACATGCTTTTAAATGACGAGACGAGTTTTATTTTGAAAGCTCTACTTTGAAAATTTAAACTAGTCCCTTCTTGAACAGTGTTTGATGCCCATTTATGATTTTAAACCTATTCCAGTAGTAATCCAACATATGTAAACCCAGATCTTTTATGTTTACAAAAGAGGATTATGGCCACTGGAAAAGAAAAAAGTTATTTTAATCTTTTTTCTTTTCCAGAAAAAGAAAAAAGTGGCTTTCCACTGCAGCCATACCCGTCTCGTATGTCTCGTATAAAAGTCAGAAATGTGACTTTTTTTCTGAAGATGTTGACTTGAATCTCAGGATTCTGTTTTCTCGAAATTTTGACCTTAATCCCAGAATTCTGACTTTTCTTTCAAACTTTAATCTCGAAACTTAGACTATAATCTCAAAATTTGTACTTCAATCACAGAATTACAATGTTTTTCTTAAAATTCTGACTTGGATTTTGACTTGAATCTCAATATTCAAACTTTAATCTCAGAATCATGTCTTTATTCTGAAAACCGCTGGTTGTGTTAACGTTTTCAAACATAAACAACTCCCAAAGTTCATGTCGGGTTTCAAACCTCCATTTCTGTAGATGTGACAATGCAAAAATACTTTTCTGATCTAATTTTTGCCAAGCAGTCCTAGATTCTACCGGATTAGGATGGAATAAAAATGTGTCTATGGATCATCAGGCAAGGTGATCCTCTTGAGGCAGACATGTCTAATGAAGAGGCAGAAGAAAATGATGAGGAGGGTGTGGAAACTGAAGATGAAGAGGAAGAGTTTTACCCTGACAACAGTCAATGGGTTGGAGAGAAAGAGGAGAATGAAGAGGAGCAGAAGGTGGCCAAATCCACTCCGACGGCACCCATCACTGAGAAGGTAGCTGCTTTTATTTCTACCTTTTGAGCAAGAAGAAAAGTTGGTAGTTGAGTCCTGGTCTTAACTGTCTTATTATCGATGTATCACCATCTTCCAGGTCAACAAAGAGACAAGCATTGACAATTTGTCAGCATGGTCGGTGGTTCGACCCAAGGAGCGCCGTCCTGACTTCCACCAGCAGATCCCCTTTATGAGGGGCAACACCATCATCCGCTCCAAGACTTTCTCCCCTGGACCTCAGAGCCAGTACATTTGCAGGGTAACTGACAGCCTTCACCATCATGTGAAAGAAAAAAAACTTTGCTACAGTTGTGTCTTTAATCTAGTGGTTTCATTCTTCAGATTAATCGGAGCGACAGCGACAGCTCCACACTCTCCAAGAAGTCTCCATTTGTCAGAAATGCCTCAGAAAGACGCAGCATGCGCATGAAAAGGGTAGGTAGAAGGAATCCTTTTCATTCATGCAGTCATCTCTGTTTAAACTGTGGTTAATAAGCATATTGTGGTGGCATTCTAGGAATATTTGTTGGGTATTTGGAGTTTTTCTGTTTGATGATATTGAACAGTCTGACATAAAACATGTAACTGCAAAACATCTCAGATTAGCATTTAGAAGTACCTTAGAAACATAAATATGTGAATATTGAACTGCAGTTTACATCCTTTAAAATGCACCTTATGTTTAAGGAAGAAATAAATCATCCTATTTATTACTGACGTCGTCTCTGTTTTTGGGGGCTTGTCCAGGATGATGAAAGCATTTTCATGAAAATATGTACTTGTCATTGACAATTAGAATTTCTGGCTTCATGTCCTTGGCGCTGCAGTTTCCAAAATACCAGCTCACAGAGCACCTCTCCCTTGTGACTCCACCACTCAGCTCCTTCAGACCAACCAGCAGCAATTAGCAAACATGTGATGAAACTGCGTATCAGCTGAGCTCTTTATATGAGCTACTTCTCAGTGCAACGGTGGTAAAAGAGGAGCCATGTTGCGATGGCCTCCTGAAGGGGGAGTGTTGGAAAGAGCAGGAGCTTCTTAAAGAAACAAAGTCCCAATTTCAAGACGTTAAATTAGAAAGTCAAATTTCTTTTGTGTCATATTTCATATGTAGCAGAAGCTGTAAAATGGCACTATATGCCTGGAAAACCTATAATACTGTCCCTTTAAGGGTTTCTGTCTGTCCTCTCGACAGCCTCCAGTGCAGGTGAAAGGTCTGGATGGTCTCCTCCGCACTTCCCTGGACCTGGAGCTGGACCTACAGGTATCCCGGACACGGCAGGCCCGACTGACCCAGGAGCTGCGAGTTCTGCGGGAGCTGAAGATCCAGCTGGAGAAGGCAAGGCAGCAGGGACAGAGGGAGCTGCCTGCCTGGATCCAAGAGGACGAACGCTTCCGTCTGCTCCTCAAACAGGCTGAGAAACAGGTTAGAAAACCCACCAGACAGGAGGACGATCCCAGTAAGGGAACAGCAGTTTTAATGTCTTGTCTGTTTCAGACTCGAGAGGAGCAGCTGCAGGAGAAACGGGTAGAGAAGATGATGAAAGCAGCAGCCAAGGAAGTCCACAAGATCAGAGGACAGAGTGGAAAGGAGCTCTCTGAGGTCCAGACCTTTAGGTAGGAGATAAGGTCCTAGTTATTTCCCGTGTTTTATGTATAAGTCAGAGTTTTTTAATAGATTGGCTGGTCCTGAGTCAGGTGCGATTTATGTTTGTTTTTTCTTCTTCATGATGCATTTTTAACTTTTGTGACTTGTATTCCAAAGCGACTTAGTCCAGAAAATACAGTAATTGAAACAGGACATAGAGAAGTAATATAATAAATGCAATGATTTATAATACACACTTATTACTTGGTGTGTATTTTATGTGGTTATTTATTGAAGTTCTTGATTTATTTTGATTTATTTGTTTTGTTTGATTATATTTATATGTTAATTTTGCTTTTTTTTATTTAAATGTTAATAAATTTATTTAGATATTTTATTTTTTTATTTAGGTTCTTTATTTCTTTTTATTTTAGTTATTTTGATTACTTATTCATTTTGCACTTGTAATTATTTGTTTATTCTTATTTTAACCTTTTTTATTAATTCAGGACTTTATTTTATTCAGATTTTTTTTACTAGATTTTTATAAAATGGTTATCTTTTATTTAGATTTTTATTTTGTTTAGATGTTTTAGTTATTTAGCTTATTTATTTATGTATTTAAATTTACTATTTATCATCATTATTATAAGAAGTCTACATTACAGAGAAGCTGTGGGTGGCAGTGTAAAAGTTAGACTTTATTTTGCCATCAACAGAATATGGATGTAATCAAAAATCTAAAATATGTTACAGTCTGCTTTTTAACATATTATATTTTCTGTTTATTTTCCAGAGAGAAGATTGCGTTTTTGACGCGAGCAAAGACCAGCATCCCCAACCTGCCGGCCGATGACGTGTAGAGAAGCATTTCAAAGTATCTTTCCCCTCTGACCCTGTTGCTCCCTCGCTGCAGGGCGAACTCTCGCTGGTGTCGTAAAGAGTTAAGAACATATTGGACACAAAAAAAGACCACTCGAAGCGGTGAAGAAACACATTTTAAAGCAGCTCAGCACTTCTCATGTGGGTAGTCTGTACATGTAAGATGGCTCTCTGGAGCTCCTCCATCTTCATTTGCTGTTTTGTTTCTGTTACTAACCAGCTAGTTTTAGTTGTTTCAAGTCATTCCAGCAAAAAATCTGACTTTTATACTAAACTTACACAGATAATGTACATAAGTGGCGCAAAATTAAATCAACAATGGTACTAGAGTTCAGATTACGCTGATGACGAATCAAAACAAATCTGAAAAATATTTAATATTCACACTTTATTTTTAGAGCATTTAGAAAATTGTATATGCAAACACACAAGCACAGTGTTTCTTTTGATGTTTTTATGTTTTTGCTGCAGACGTGAAGAAAACATCTGTGTATGAGTTTAAAAGCCTTCTGCTTGTTAAAGTTGGTGCATCTTGTTTTTGCTAAATTGTCCCCAAAACTACAACTCCCAAGGTGCATTTCAGCAAAAAATATCCTGGCGCAGGATCTAAAGTTTCTGTTAAGTAGCATGAAGCTAACAACATTTTAACGGTTGTTTGGTGTTTGTGAACTCCTGATAGTTTGTTTTAAGAGTTGTTGCTAAGAGGGATCCAATTTTAGGTATCAGAAGAGATTTTTCTCATTGAATTCAGTTAAGGCCTGAATATTGTTTTTGTTTTTCTATGATAACTTTTATAAACATAAAATTTTTCAAAAAGATACAGCTCCTAACACGTAGGTGCTGCATTCGTCTTTGGGCAAAAGAGAGGTGGTGATTTTATTGGCAAAAATTACTTAGGACATTATTTTAGGAATGTGACAATATTCATTCAGACTTTTAAAGTTAAAACAATTAAATCAAAATTTGAACATGGGTTCTGTAAAATATTCAGTGAGAGCAACAGGTTTCTCTAATTTAGAAATCCCAAATTATGGAAGTAGACTTGATGAATCCTCAAACACCTGCATTTACCACATTTGTCCACAGGTGTCACCAAATCATATGAATTAAAACTCATTTCTTCAGTAGGATCTGCCATTTTAACTTAAAACAAGCAGCATTTAAGATGATTGTAGAACATTACGCACCAACTCAGAGAGGAAAACCAGAGGCATACTCTTTGAAAAACAAGCATTTTGTCAGTCCAATTATCTCTAACCAGCTCAGCAAAATGTAGAATCGACACTAACTCACTAACACTCAGGTAGTTTATTGGATAGTCTGCACTTTATAAAACTTTAGGAGAAAAAAACCACAAAAGGAACCTTGATCTGAGGTTTTCTAGAAGCCTCTCCTTCATGCTGGATGATTATTGATTGTTGAAACATGCAGGAAATGAAGATCAAAATGTATTTTTGATGACTGTGAATTCCTACTGATTGTATGTTTGTTCACAAGAGAAAAAAATCTTCCAGTCAGCCCATAGAGACATAAAGGTTTCTCTGCAATGCAAGCACAGAGACTCCTTGTTTCTTTCTGACTGATTTTGTTTTGGTCCCGTTTTATCAGTCTTAACTTTCGGCTTCATCCTGCCATGTTTCCCTACTATAACTGGAGTATTTATGTACATATCACTCTGATGTGTTTTATAACTGGAAGTAAAAATGCTTTGCACCAATACAATAAACATATCACCTTTTTATTTTTTTCTGGCCCCAACAGAGTTTTAAATGAACCATTAAACACCTCTTTGCTGCAGCTCTTTCAGCTTGTTTAGGTTTTACAGCCCATGCCGTTACAGTTTTTGATCTTTTCATTGGTTGCCTGTTTTACTGTTTACACAAAAATTAAAGGCATAATTAAAGATGTTTTTTTTTGTTGTTGTTGTTGTTGTTATTGTGGGGTTCTTCAGAGTAGTTATCGGTAATGACTGATGGCTTTTTTTTCTGCAGAAGGCAAAAACTTAGCTGAAGTGTTTGAGGAAAGATTCTCATGCTTCATCCAATTGAATGGATGGATTAATGAATGGCAGAATGACTGATTTAATTATAATGTATTTGAAAGGGACATGCACATTAATTAACATTTGCAACAGGTACAGATGCAAATATACCAGATTTAGTAGAATTTTCCAGATTTTTGTCTGTTATCCCTGAGCAGGTAACATTTTACAAATACAGTTAAAATGTTTTTTCATGTACATAATGAAGAGTCAAATGATGCAGTAGCATAAAGTAAATGGTATAAAATGGTTGGTGCTGAGTGCATTGCAGTTTGATTGGATGGATAGTAAATTGATTGACGGACGGATGGATCAGCCAGAAAACTGCAATCGGTGTACTCCTATAAATTTGGTAGATGGATGCTAAATTGGATGGATGGATGAATGGTCGGTTGGATGGAGATATATTGGATGGTTGAATTGTAAATTGACTGATTGGATTGATGGGTGGTGAATTCAGTTAGGGTCCTATCCTGAATAGACATGATCTTGAGATTTTCTCTTTTTTAGAAGCTCATTTCAGTTAAGTCGTTCTGCAGATCCTGAACCTATAACTGCTCTATAGATCCTTCCTTTAACCAACTACAGCTTTCTCTCCAGCAGAGGAGCAACCTAAAAAATGACCACCGAGAAGACGTGAACAGCCTAGAATCTACTGCTAGTGGACCCAAATACAGTCCTCTGCCCCTTAGGGAACAGACCCTGGTCTGTTTTAAAACATCATGCCTTGCTGCTACAGTCATTCCAGATGTTTTCCTCTGATCCCTGCTTTTAGATTAACTGCATTGAAGAATTGGAAAGATATGTAGATCCTGTAAATGTTTTCAGTTCATATTGGAACTAAAATATTTACACTCCGTTGTGATAAAATTCAGGTGTTAAATGTCTTTATTCAGTAGAAAAATCCTATTCCTCACAGGAACATAAGACCATATATTTGTCTTCATCACTGAACACCATGGCATGAACTTTAACCTTTTATTTTTATTTACTTTTTAACCACAAAGAGGTTTATTTTCTGAATATGGTCAGTCTTATATAGCACATAGATGAACCTATGAACCATAAACGGACTTATAACTGAACCAGGATGAAGGAATGTCGGCTTTCCCAAGGAATCACAGTAAATCATGTAGCTTTTGTATAATTGCAGCTTTTTTTGGTCTCTGATTTGATTATGATTTTGTTTTCTAATAGTCCGTATTATGACTGCTGATGAACCAGGTGACGTGTTTGCCGACAGCTATTACACCCATATGGTGTGTATTTATTGCACTTTTGTGATTTGGGTGTCCTTTTTTTCCTCCAGTTTTGTTCTTTTTATCAAAAGTCCAGAAAAAGCTGTGAATTTCATTCTCAGACACTGTAACTGTCGATAAGAGTTGTAAATATTTCACCAGCACAAAAAAGGAAGATGGCAGACAAAACACAAACACTATGTTTTGTAGTTTCACAACAAAAATAAAATGTTTTTCTCTTATAATTGAAGTTGTTAATTACTGACTGCATATTTAGAGCTGGAACAGACTTAAAAATATCATGTTTAGTTTTTTGTCTCAAAAATGACAAAGTAGAATACCAATGTCCCAATGGTATTCCCTATGTACGGAGCCCCCTAGGAGAAATGGGGAACATTTTTTCTTTTGTGTTGCCTCACAATGTGCTTTCTGCAATATTTGCTGGTCTATTTTGTATACAGTCACGTATGTTAATTTAACATTTCAAATGGCCTCAATCAAAAACGTGTTTATTATTATTAACTCTTTGGTGCAAAAAACTGATTGGAAATTGATTTATTCACTGCATGTTTATGTCTGTTTCTGTAAGGCTGAGATGGAACTGCACATGTAAACAGCCCTTTAAACCATTCAGAAGCAACATAAAAGAGACACAATCAAAACTGTCGGATGACTTTTTACCCTGTAATAACTCAGAAATAGTCCAAATAGTTTGGATGTGTTTTTTTTTATTTCTTTCCTACTTACAGAAAGGTTTTTTTATATATATATATATATCATAGGTTTGTGGTTTTCAATCCTAAAGAAAAAATATATAAAACTTCAGATATTTCACAACAAGATATTAAGATATAAGGAGAAACCTTATATAATAGCAGAAAGTATGATGGCCACCGTAAGAAAGACTTACAGCAGGGGTGCCTAAAGTGGGTCCTCGAGGGCCGGCATCCTTCACATTTTAGTTCTCTCCCTGGTGGTAGTAACAACCTTTTCATCTTGTTAATGTACCTCCTAATGAGCCATCATTTGATCCAGGTGTGCTAAACCAGGGAGAGACCTAAAACATGGAGGATGCTGGCTCTGCAGGACCCACTTTGGGCACCACTGACTTACAGTATTGAATTATGCCACATGAACTGATCAGTACATTATTGCAAGAGAACACAAAACTTTTGCGAGGTAATGCAAAAGCTTTGCGAGGGAATGTAATGCTTCGTTCCCTCGCAAGGCCTCCTTTTTTATTTTTGAGCATTTGCTTCTTTTTCATTCACATACCTAGGCATTTTCTATAGACTGTTGAACTCTTTTTTTTTTTTTTTTTTTTTTTTCCCCCCAAGACCAAAACTCCCATTTTATTGTTATCTTAACATCGGTCAACTGTACAAGCAAATATATGAGAAAACAAATGTATAATAAAAATACTGACTATATATATAGATATATATCTAGATATAGATATATCTATATCTATATGATTTGATATCTATATATATATCTATATATAGATATATATATCTATCTATCTATATATAGATAGATAGATAGATATATATCTATAGATATATATATACATAGATATATATCTATATATAGATATCTATATATAAAAAATATATATTTTTTTTTTTTTGAAAAAAAAAAAAATCAAATGAAATTTGACAGTAACAAAATACAGAATATGGAAAATATGAACCAAACATAAATGAATAAAATTAAGATTGAAAATTAAATGGAAAATGTATTATTAATGACATTCAATTAATACTGTGAAAATGTGTAAGTTGGAAAAGGTCTCCTTTTTTGCATGCAATATTTGGCACAGTAATTTCTTCATCAAGCCATTTATTTATTTCTATGTTTATTGACAATCTTGACAGGATCAGTCCTGTGGAGGAACAAAACTGACCAAAAAAATAAAAGCATAAATTTTTTTAAAAATTTTTCCTTGTCCTTACACGAATTTACATCAAGAAATGCAAATATTTTCTTTTTTATTTCCCCTAAACATGTTTTTGTAAAGAAAAGTAGATATTTTGTTTTGTCTTTTCCTCATACAAGCCCTCCTTTTGGCATTGCCTCCTGCATCGTTATGTCATGAGTAGAGCTGCCTTTGATGTCCAGCTCATCTACTATTGGTCTAAATATATATTTATGCTTTTATTTCTTATTATATCAGTTTTGGTCGAAGTCAAGGACTTAAAACATAAAAAATAACCTGCAAAGTAAAACACATTTAAATTTAAGCTCATAATAATAAAACACATTTATGGTTATTTAGAGTAATCCTTTCCAGACTGATACAGTGCATGCTTTTTTGTAATGAAACTCAAGATTCATAGCCAGCATGCCTAGGTGGGACCCATATAGTCTGCCCTCCTTTTCCCCACATGGGGCCCACCTAGGCATAGTTCAGATTGTGAATGTTTC